TCATAAAGGAGGTTTGGTATTGATTTTCTTTCACTGCATCCATGTATGCAGTAAGTACAAAGAGCAGTTTCCCTTTATTTTTTCATTAGGCCCAATGCCCTGGTGCAGTGTTTCAAGCATGCAGTTGACATTTCTCCAGACACAAATACGATTTTTATGGCTGTTCTGTTTGAGATCCCCGAACAACTCCCATGGCTGGAATGGTAATGAAGCACCCTTGATTTCCCAAATGCAATGGAAGAAATGTCATAATATTTAGATTAATGTGCTGCGGAATTGCATCAAGCAAGCTAGGTATCATCTCCGACTGGGTCAATGCGATCACCAGTCTTTATAAGTTTGTCAGGGACCCTTACGAAGTTTCATACCACTTTTTAAAAAACATTTTACTCTTATCTTTTACCATTGACGTTTTGAAATCAAGTTTCAGCAAAGTCCACCACCCAAGGGTATCACCAACCCGTACCCACGAGTCTCGGACTTTGCAGTGCAGTACATTGCAAGGACGGGCTAATCTGTACTGATTTGGAGCTCAGCCAGTGGAAGCCTCCTCTAATCCCTCATTCTTTTTATCAGAGGAGGAGAGGCAAATTTCACTTCTGCACAAGAGGGGAAAAGGAGCTATTTCATGCCTCACTGACTCCACTGTTTTTTTAGAATGGTTGTCTTCTCTTTTTTTAGCCCTTATTTTATATGCTGCATAGCTGCATTCTGTGAAAAACTTGCTGCATGTGTATATTTTTTTGCTAGTAGAGGTGGGGAGATACTGTAAAGACACCTTTGCCAATTAGCACATTGGCCCTTAGTTGTCCTGTGTTAACACCATTGCTCTTTCCTGAAAAAGGAAGTCATTAAACTTATTAATGCAGCATTCATCCGTTTATATGCATTGCAAAGTAAAAGCATTCATTACAAAATTCCATTACATTGTTTTCAGCTGGCCTCCTACTCACAGCAAAACAGAACGTGGGCCACCCCTTCCGCTCTACAATGGTAAAACAGATTAAAGACTGTACACGCCTGTTTGGAAGGTGCGCTTGATGTTCCTCTTTTGAGTTTTTTTAAACAGCTGTCCGGTACATAGTAGCAAGAGGAAGAGACAACTGTGATATCAAGCAGCTTTCAGCGCTCCACAAGTCAACAGTAACGTCTTTATTAATCTCTCTGCCTCTAAGGCAGCTTTGAGAGGAAACACTGAGTAAATAAAGAGAAATATTTCCAGTCCTAGATAAAGATAAAGGGATTGCTTTTATCTAAACATGAATCAGCTGCAAAGGGAGCCATAGAGTACCTCCCCAGGGCCGTACGGAGAAAGAGATCATATACTGTTAGCAGCGTTTGGGATTGAGATAAGGAGACTATTGTGCCATCTGCATACACATGCATTGTGAGAACACAAACACTGATATTCATGGGTAATGTAATTAAAGCGTTTGATAACACAGTGCAGTATGTCAAGATCCTGCTGAGTGAAAGGAAGTAGTGTGTGTCAAGTAACAGATATCCTGCGGGGTGAATCGCTCATATTTCCCTGGTCATGTTTCACACGTATCGTCCACATGTGTATGCACTCAAGGACATAAACTAACAGTCATCAGTCATTGAGGAAATCTCAGACACCTCATCAAATGTGGGTCTTAATGTGTCTGACACAAACTTTCTGACACATACATCTCTGTCCACTGGCAGTTTTCACGTGGAGCGTACAAAGTGATCATTTTAGTTTGAGTGTTTATTTCAGTTATCATCCATAATATGAAAATATGTATCATTTTATCAGTGTTGGTGACATATTGTAGCATATTTTAATTATTTAAATGCACACGATGTAACTTGTTTTGCTCAAAATTTAGAGAATGTATATAATGAGCAAATACATCATGAATCCATCTTTCAAACTGTTTTTCTCCTGCCCTGAAACCCTGTGATATCTCTATAATAAATGTTTATATTAGGACTATTTTAGACCTGTTGGGACAACATCCGCTGCAGAGTAGTTTAGTACCTGCATGACTCGTCATTTCCATAAATAGAGAGAAGTAGCTCCGGCTACAGTGTTCATCCGCAAGATGCATGTAGTTTTATTTATTAACCGCTAGAGTGCCAAAAGTTACATAGTGTACCTTTAATTATTCACACACACACACACACACACACACATATATATATATAT